TGTAGGGAAGGACAGACTGCACCTTAACAGCAACAGAGATTAACAGCTGCTGGCACAGAGATTAGAAAGATTTTAGAACAGAAAGTAGCGGGAAGTCAACAAGCACCAAACAGCTCCTGGTTCAGATTGACATGCCACAGAGGCTTATGTAACTAATATTCAAGGTGCCTTAGACAATGTAGGGGGCGAGGGAAAGGAGGCAGCTGGGGATAAAAGTACAATCAGGATAAATAAGGAATGGTCATTAAAACACCTTTTATGTATTACCATATCCTTAAAGCAAAACCTTCAAGTGCTTCTGTGCCAATGCTAAGAACATAAAATTGAGATGTGGGAATGAAGACAGGTCATTGGTGAACCATCCCAAAATAATACATCTATCAGAAACCCGATGGAAGGAGAAAAATCAGTAGAACAGAGCCTTGTCAGGCTTTGTAAGAAGCATAGGACACACAGCAGAAGGCTAGTATGTAAAAGGATAACATGAAGTGTAATAGCATGAAAGTGTTACAGAAAAAGGAAAGTGTGATGGGATCTCTGTGGGTAAAGAAATTTCAGAGTATAATAACAAAACTGTAAGACTAGGATTGCACTGCCTATCACTTGATCAAAGTGACAATATCAGTTATTATGTGAAATTAGAGAAGCCACATATCGCAGAATCACAGAATGGCCTAGGCTGGAAGGGACCTTAGAGATCAATTAATCCCTGTCACAGGCAGAGATGTCTCTCAACTAGATCAGGCAACACATGGGGACATGGATCAGATTGATGCCTTATCAAGAAGAAATGTAGACATTACATTTTTAGATATGATAAATGATTGTCTTTTGGAACAGACAGTCTATGAATCTCTACTGGTGCACAGGGCCTTCTTAAAAATTTTTCGTAGACAGACACTCTGTATAGCTCTAGTAGCTTCATATATTACAATGCAACAGGATTTAACATTGTTGTGTGAGAGATCAGGTGAAACAAATCCAAATCAAAAGAACTGTATGAAAATTACCAAAAGCAGTTAAAAACCCACCTAAATGGAGAAAACACCAAAATCCCTTAACAAACAAACAAATAAACCAAACCCCAATCAGGAATCAAGAAAAACACTAGATGCAGCATTCCAAAAAAGCAAGTCCCTCACAAAGATCCAAAAGAATATTTCAAATTACTGCATTAGATATCCAGGTAAAATGAATGTCATAATTGAAACAGCCATCCCACCCTCCCACCCCAATATCCCAACTCCAAAACAAATGAACAATCACCAACTTCCTCCTCCTTCCAAACAAACCAACCCAACTCAAACTCAAAAACCCAGACAAACATCTCTGCATGAATCAGCAAGGAAATTAAGTACATTGTCATAGGGAAAAGGTCAGTATTTAAGAAATCAAGTTTACTCAAATGGGCAACAACAGGAAAGAATATAAAAATGGCAGATTAGATATAAACAGGAAATTAGGAGGGCTAATAAAGAATTTTTTATGACTTCTCTGTGAAATATGCTGAAAATGATAGTAGAAAATTTTGAATAAATCAAAAGCATGAAGCCAAATACAGAGTTAGGGCAGCTACTTGATAATAGAGGTATAAAAGGAGAACTCGGGGACTACAGAGCATAGCAAAGGGCTTCAGCAACTTCTTTGTGTCAGTTTTAAGGGGTGAACACTTTAATGTGATACCCATCACACTCGATGCATTCTTTAAAAAAAAAGAGGAATCAGAATGAGCTTGGAATAAATATATCAAAAATCAGATAAAGCAGATAAATCACACTTAATACATTATCAGAAATTATAGCATTCACCAACAGTCTCCTTTAGAAATGTGGCTGTAGAAAAAACAACAAAACTCCCCCAAAAAACAGCATTCAAGTTCTTCAGAAAAACAAATAAGAAAAAAAATCATTCCATCTTAAGCAACTAGCTCACGTTAACTGACGTTTGTTAGCAATAGTACCCATTTCCAGACATGTCTCTGTCAGCTGTTAACTTTATAATGTAGTTCTATAATTTTGGCTTAGGTTTTTGGTGTTTTTTTTTCTTTTTCAGTTCATTCTACTTTACGAGTTCAAAACTCCAAAAGTTTCTGGTCAACAAGTAAGTCATAAGTGAACTCTGCTGCACCACATTTGGAGTAGGATGCTAAGATTTGAAGATGCACTGAACTTTGCAGTTTATTTAGTTTGGCTCTGACACTTTTTGCATCTGCATTGTGTCTTGTCATGTAGCTTTATTTCTATCCAAAGCAGCTAAAAATAACCACGTTGCTTCTTCTTCCCAGCGAGTATCATTAAAAACAGAGTTATCAGTAAAAGTTTCTTCTCACATGAATTCAGTTAACAGTACTCGGTGTTGCCTTGGTATTTAAGATTCTTATCAATGAAAGAAATAGTCTAAAGTAAACTACAAACTTCAGAATTTTCCAGCAGAAGGGAGATGTCTGGAGAAGTAAAAAGTAAATTGAAGGTCTTAAACAAAACTGTGCATAATAGGAAGCGGAAAGTATCAATATAATAAAAGCGGCATCCAGTAGGGGTACACAGTACATGGACCTCCACATATAGAATTACACCATACTCAGCTTTCATGTCACTTCTGCATTAGACCAAATATTGGGTAAATTATGCTGATGAATAATAAATATCACTATACCTAAAAAAATAAATAATCCATTCTGTTGTCCATTTCTATTTGATTTTTGAGACTTTTTTTAACCTACAGAACTATTTATGGGCACTGCTTTTACATTGAACAGTTATACTATGTAATATTCCTATTGGATTGAAAAGAAATTTTTTAATATATTTTGCTATCTCCCTAAAACTACAGAGAGCAAGTTTTAAAGGATTCACAACAGTGGATAATGTCTTGGAATTCTCAGGCAAGAGAGGCATGTTCTTACTATGAGTGGCAGAATTAAACTGTACTAAACAAAAATATACAAGTTTTATACACAGATTTCAAGGTTGGTAGATTTTAACCTCATATTGATCAAAGTCATATTGAATTTCTGAGGTTTGTAGACCAATTTACAGTGGTAAACCAGCATTTCTGCAAGAACAAGTTTTACACATTCTCTCTGGAATCAGTTATTCTTTTGTGTCCTAAGCCAAGACAAAAATAGCAGTGGCAAGGAAGGTACAGTAAATCCTATCTAAATTACTTTTTGCTCCCTGGCATTGCACATTATAATTGTGTGTGCTTTATCTGTTGTGAAAATCACAGGAACTTTTTCTTTCTTTTTTTTCTTTTTTTTCTTTTTTTAAAAAAAGAGGTCAAGAATGTCTGATTACATATTTGTTTACATTTTTTTTAATAATCAACAGTTTTATGGAAATTGATGGGATCGCATCATTAATTTAGAACCACATTGAGCAAAACAATGGTTTCGAATGGTCTTCAAAATGTCTTTTTTAAACAGACTTACCCTGTTCTTGAGCTTTAAGAAAACTTCTCAACTGTTTGTTGTAAATGTTACTTTTGAGATTTCTTATAATACTTCTTATAACAAATGACATAGACTCATTATCTTTACCTTTATCTTACTCTTATCTTTACCTTTGCCAGTACAAATAGACATTGAACTATTTTAAAGCAGTTTCACTGAAATTTGCCAGCCCATTACATTAGTCACGACTGCATTAGTCACTCACAAAACCTGAATAAACAACAGATCAGCTGGGGATGTCCTCTCTGTTGTCTCCAGACTAACATTCCATATATTATTTCTCTTTGAAGAGAGAAATAATGGGAAAAGAATTGGAAGGAATCCTCTTTAGCTAGTTTCATCAGAAACATATCAGAAATTTCTTGCATTAATAAGTCACATATCAAATTCCCTTGCATGCTTGAGGTAGAGACGTGTCAAATCCAAATGTCATCTCCTTCATGTCATGCCTTAGTATGATAACGGTAGAGAGGGTTATTTTACAACATCACACACCGTGAAAATTATTTAGCACTTGCAGAATGGAAATGCTTTTATAAAACAATATATTCATTGTTAAGTATCAAACCCACATATTCCTTGCTCTTATACTAACACTCCCTGAAGGCAGTGCCAGCCCAAAATTTTAAAGACATACATGGAAATATAAATACATATATATTCACATACATGTTTAAGTCTATAAACATACTTGTTGCTCCTTTAGAAGTACATTATAACTATTTAATGTACTAAAACTCTGTCTTGAAAGCTTAATCATTTATCAGAACTCATTTTGCTACGCTGACCATAAAAAAGGATAAAACAATATTCCTTGCATAAGCATATATTTTATACACTTCATATTGCATGGAGAACACCTTTGCTTTTACTCAGGAGTCATTTCAAGTTCCACAGAATGGTCTTTCACAAATTCTGTGTTACGTCCCTTTGTCTGGACTACCAGACAAAGCTGTCAGAGCTGTACAGCTACACACACCCAGATCAGCCAGTCCCATCAAGATGTGTACAGTGGTCACCCTCAAAGCTCCCACTGACATCCCAGGAAGCTGCTGAAATAAGACATTTCCAGAAGGGGCTAAAGACCAGTTTTAGCCCTGGCAAACAAAACCACTGTGCATGAACAAGGTAAAAGAAAGCTATTCAATGGTGTGATAAAGGCTATTTTGTTATCCTTGGTGAAAGAAAACACCCCAAACCAGCTGCCATTATTGAACCTGATCAGGTGTTTTCTATCTCTGTTGGCTTCAGTGATTTTAATAAAACTACACAGACTGGTGTCCAGTGAGAACCCATTTCCAGAATCACAAAGTTATTAAAAACATGATGGATGAACAAAATCACTCTTACAACTTTCTGATGCCAAAAGTCCATCAGCTAAAACCATATTTCCTGGGTTTCCCAGTATCTTGGTTTACCTTCTTGAACGGAAAGACCATTTTGGACATAAAGAATTCAGCTCAAGGTTAGTCATTGCTGCTTTATGTACATTGGACAGTAGCTTTTTAGTACAATACGGTTGTTTGCAGAATAAATCACATGAGTAAGAACATGAGATGTTAATCTTCTAGATTTTAACATGAAATACCACTAGCTTGGGGGAAGGGTCTTCCACCCTTTCTTACAACCTTCAACCATGGCTGTGCAAGTTCCTAGGTTTTCTAGAAATTAGATCACTGAAATATATAATAGGGAAATTAAAAAATGCTGAAAAACAGCTGTTAGAACTTTAAGCTTTTCTTCACTGATGTTCGAGTGATATTAATTGAACCTTCCCCCAAATATAAAAAGAATATAAATTACTGAGAAAATGAGTGTTCTAAGTCGTTACTATTTTCAATATTTTACTACAGGAACTCTGAAAAATTACCTTTAAATTTTCATTTCTGCCTCTCAGTTGGCTTTACTTTGATCGTGGTTAGTATTTTGACTTTACTATGTTAGTATCTCCCTCTAGTGGTTTTCTGAATAATAGTATTGATCAGAAACCCCTCCCGTGAACAAGGTCATGAATTCTATTCTTTAGATCAGCAGTTCTCCTGCATACATGTCACTAGCACAGCACTGCATGCTCTCACACCATAAAATGCAACACAGTCTCAAATTCCGTTACGAACTCCAGAGCCTGCACTAGGTCAACATGAAGAACTTGGCATATCCATGTATTTCACTAGAAGAAAAAACCCACCTTGGTCTGTAATTAGGCAATGAACATGTTTAGGTTGCAAAAAAATTAAAAAGTTAAAATATGATTTTTCTGAGTTCATAGTTTAACTAAATCGATACACACTATTACCTTCCATCCATAACATTGGTGTTAATTTGAATGCAGTGAAACTCCTTATTCCTCAACAGCAACACTTAGTCTTATACAGATTTCTCATCCTTGCTATCCCTAAATACAGTTCTATTTTCACAACTACTATAGTCTCTTCTAATTACTTTGTACCTTTTATTCATCTCTTCACAGAAATTTTTCTTCTTCTGTTTCATTTTAACAGGGAAAATGGAAAAATGTTTTGAAGGGAATGACACTCAGTTGGTACGTGTGCAATCTCGGAGAGTCGACCATATAAACCCAACAGGTTCCTGTGTCTTTGTATTTGCTGTGGGAGAGGCTCTTGTGTCCTGTAACTGTGATTTATAAGGCTCCAGACAGGGCTTTTTCATATTTAATTTCCCTTAATATTGCAATAGTAATTTGCTCCAGATTGTTGCTTTTGGGACTCACTTCATTCTGTTTTCTTTTGTATGCTTAGTAAGTAAAAAAGTCTGCTATTTTTTTTTAAGCCAAGAACAAAACAAAAAAATTAGAGAAAGTAACTGACCATCCACACCACATGAAAACTTGCAGAAAAATGAAGATAGGAGCGGACGTCATGGCAGAGGCACGACTCGTTGTGCATATAGGCTGATCCTATTAATAACGGGCAAAGTAGCAAGTAGAGGAAAGGAAAGAAAACACAGAAAAAAAGACATACAAGATGAGATTTCATGCAGATTGCTGGCAGTTAGCAGAGTTAATGTGAAAGCATCCACCCAAGAGCAAGAGATTCACAGCAAATTTTGCAAATAAACTTAACCAAAACAATCCACTTATGAAACACATGACTTACACACTGATTAGCACATCAAGCTAGTGAGCGTTGTACTTTCACACACAATTGTATCAGGAGGCTCTGGAATATTTAGAATGGTCAAATAGCTTTTGGATGTTTTTTCAACTTAGTTTGAACATTGTTGGCCAGTAAGAAGTCTTCCTTTTTGAAACAAAAATTGGATACTAGAAAAATGCATTGAATTCCAACTGTGCAGACTTTTAACACTACTGACATCTCAGTAATTGTGCCTCATTAAGAAAAGTAGAGAGTATACTGGGACAAAATTTGGTTTAGAGCAGCTACAGCCAACTAACTTCACTAGTTTTGGAAAACTTTTCCATTGCGGAAATGGGATGAGTCATTACAAACGCATTTAAAAATTAATTTTTTTATATAACAGCAGGTACTTCCCTCTTCAGTCCTTTTTGTCTTGAAATTTATTCTGAACAATTTGAATTCAACATATTCTCTTTCATACGTTATTTTGAAAAGACAGAGAACATATTTAAAATAACATATATGTGGAAGAGCTGTAATTTTTTTCCTTCAAAACTGCAGTGCATACAGTACAGCATAATTTTACATAATTAAACAACATAATTTTGCTGATTTCAGTAAAGCAATGTATTTTTATACCTGTTAAGAAAGTGCCCAAAGGTCAATATGAATCTGCAGAATTTCTGAGAGGAACAACATCCTGAACCAGACATAATGTTTTTAATCATTTGACAATACCTTAAATACCATTTGGAAACACTTCTAAGCAGGGATTTGTGAAAGCCATAGACGAACTGAGTTTCATGGCACTGTAGAGAGACATCAATTTAGGTTTGCCAATGTTGGGGTATTTTTAGTGGGAATCATGTGTGAAAGTGCAATGGTTGTAGGAAAGGCAGATAAGAAAGCAGCTGTAAATTCTATGTCAATCATGGGATACTTGAAGTAGAGTGGCTATGGTCTAGAGGGAACAGTATGTTAAGTGATAGACAGGTTGCCAGGCATCAAGGTACATTTAAATATAGGTCTCACTACTTTTCTAAAATAGCTCTATAATTGATTTTAAAGGTAGTCCTGAAGTCTTACAAGTTCTTACCTGTTTGGCTTCATCAAAACAGACATCAGGGCCTTTTCTGTATCTAGGTTGCTTGACCATTTCACAAGGGTTTGGACCTTCATCTTGTTTCTCTGGTTAAGGAGCATGCCTGGTTTTGATGCATCATACACTAGCAGGATTAACATTCTGGTTTTACTTTTGCCGGAGAAAAGAAGATTTACACTAATTCAGATAGTACTGAAATAAACATCAATAGTCACAGTTCCTTGCTTAAATTAAAGAAAACCAAACCAACCCAACCATCCAGATAAATTGAAATCAAATACCCTTTTTTGTTTTACACTGCTTTAATCAAGAAAATAAACATCCTGCATGTTTTTTTAGAACCAGTATTTCCAGAACTGTACACAAAATAAAAATAAAACTGAGGGGGTTTGTTATGGCTTTTATTACTGTTGCATAAATATTACAGAAAATGTTTCATAAAATAGTAATCTTCCAATGGTGTTGATTGGTTATAGCATATGTTACCACTGAGGTATTCTATTAAAATCAAGAAATAGTAAAAGCGAGGAAGCTTGTTGGAAAATAATGTTATATATGAACTGAAAATGTGAGAACTTGTAAGAATAACTGGTTTTGTTAGGTATACACCTATACTACTTCAAATATCATAAACCAGATCATCCCACTGTAGGCTTTGATAGCAAACAATAGAAAATCTAATCAGATCTCATTAGCATTTCAGTGACAGAGACAAGAGAAAATGCTCTTCGAACAAACCGCAAACAGAACTGGGAGTAGTGACATGCTATTAATTAGCTAACTGTAAACGTGAGGTAATGCTTTAGCTTACAGCTCTGAAATCTGTAATTGCTGATATTTAAGTGCAAACATAACACTACACATTTGACGCAGGCTGATGAGGGACAAAAGTCATTGCAGTGTACTTGAAAGGCACAGATATGGTCAACTGCAAAACCATCTTCTGTTGAAACTTGCTTATATTACCGTTCTGTAGGGCAAGCTTTTTTTATTCCACTGTCGGTAGTATGCACGTTAAAGCTAGGTCAGAGTGTTTTAAAAACATTGAGCACCAAAACTTTACTTATTTTTGTGGCTTGAATCAATCTTTCCCATGCACTCCTGTGGTGGATCACTGCAGCTTCAGTGCAATTAGTGGAGATGCCCAACAGAAGAGAAGGCAATGGACTGGAAATCTAGTTCTACAGATCTACATCTGTCTTCACTCAGATGTTATCAGACTCACCTCTCCTTTCCTCTGCCGGGGCCCAGCTGAAAAGGAAGTCGAAACGTAGAGATATTCGAAACGACCACGTGCACAAGCAAAGCTGTACCAGCCAGAAGGAAGCAGAGTCTAATAATAACCATCTGAATAGCACCCAAAGGTCATTCTGTCTGCTTCTGGGATGTTATGCTACATCTGCATTTCACAATGTACCTCAGTTACAGAAAAGAGAGAATAGCTTAGTACTGCATATTTGGAACCAAAATAAAATAGTTCATTTAGTCAATATAAGCCCACCCAGCTGCTCCAGCTGCCATTTGAAGCCATTTACTGCTTTCTAGAAGATATGGGCCCCACAGGTAAATGCAAGTCATGTGCCCATTTCCCATCAAATGTGCTTCATTTTCTATAGCAAGTGCTGTCTATAAATTTAGACAGTGACAACAGTTAATCAAACTGTCATGGACCAGAGCCAATTAGAATATTAGGCTGTGTTTACATAGTTCTATGATGACCTGGATATTGCTTCCACCCCAACATAACTTCCTTTTCAGCCCAAGCATAGACGGAATTCCAGTTTTATTAATGTGGCAATGAATTCATGGCTTGTGTCAAAGAAATACAGTCATTTCTACCACCATCTGCTTTTCTTTCAGGAATGGGAGATGCTGTCTCAACCAGCTTCCTGACACGGACAAAGGTATTACTAATTGTTTTCCATATTCTGTTACAACAATCCAAATTATGATTTGATTTACCATGCTGTCCTCAAGAAACTATAGTAGAAAAAAAACAGGATTAATTTCTCCTGGACTACAATACGTGTATGTTGGTTTTATATATTTCCATCACCATCCCCTAAAGGTATCTACTGGAAGCTAAAGCACAGAGATAGGCATGCAGGTGGTTGTAAATTAGAACAACCTTTAACATGCTTTTAATTTTAACGTGTGAGTTGCAAGGACCGTGTTTAGCACATGTGTCACCTATGCCTCCAGCCAGCTGGATAAACTCTGGCCTTTGATCCTAAGGCAGTTTCCACAAGAAGTAAGCAGTCCTCATGGCACTGAGTTTACACTAAAATGCCTCCAGTACTTCACCTCTGTGGTGCAGCCATGAGTGCAGCACCCCAACTTTTCATCATCAAACTCTCATAAGTTGGTGCTGCCCTTTGTTATATCTTTGTCTTTTCTAAAGGCTGAAGAAACACAGGACTCTCAGTCTCCCCTTGCCTCTCCTGTGCTCCAGATGCCAATCACCCTGGTGACCCTCCATCAGAGCTCCTCCAATACATCAGAGTGGTACCGGGGAGACTCAAACTGTACACAGCACTCCAGATCTGGATCAATTCTCCCAATCTGTGGACTATACTCTTGCTAACATAGCTCAGGACATGACTGGCTCTCTTTATTGCAAGGCGCAGTGCCAACTGATGTTCATCTTGTCCATCATGATCCTCAAGTACATTTCTGCAAAGATGTTTCTAGTCACTCCACCCCCGGCCTGTCCAGCTGCATGTCATTATTCTATCCTGGATCCAACACTTTGCACCTGCCTTTTGGAAACTTCATTAAGTTCCCATGAGCTCGTTTCCTTTTGGTCCTCAAAAATAAGAGCTTTGCTCTCTGTCTCAGTGAGTGCTGCCTCAGGTGATTTGTAATAGCATCCACAAATATCTGCTGCTTCAAGCACCTCAGGGGCAATCACGATACTAACGTGTACATAAACAGGCCATTTTTTCCCCAAATATATTGCAGCATATCATAGCCAAAAATCAATCCACACTAGTAAATAACATGATTTTAAAGGATACCCGGCTTCTCTGCTTGCATGAGTGGCTTTGGGTCACAGGAGCGGCACAGCAGTTGGCTGTCACTGATAATGAATACTAGATTGGTGTTTGAAATCTTCTCTGCATGATAAAGCCTAGAAAAAAAAGCCAACAAAAGCCTATGTTTAAATGAAGCAAGGAAAAGTGTATTTGGGAAGGACAAATAGTATCGGAATAAAAGTAATCCAGCTTCACAGATTCAGTCTTTCTGCTGCTATTTGTCTTTTCCATTAATGAATAGTAAGAAACATTTACAACAAATTTTGTAATCTTTACGACATCACCATGGTTCCTTCTTCTTTCAGCTAGACTTATTAGTGGAAGAAATGGAAGATGGCATAAAGTGACTTTAATTGAGTTAATAGCTATCTCTGTACTGCTACAACCGCAGCTGTACTGAGAAATAAAATAAGTTCAGCATCAATTCTTCCCCTAATGACACCGACAAAGCCCAACCACAAAAACAAACAAAACCCCAGCATATAAACCTGCCTGCAAGAAGGGTGAGAAAGAGGTTTCAGTGTATATCCTATATTTTTATACACATATAATTTCACAAAAGGCCCTTAACTTAGTAGGGTCATTCTCAATTTATAAATAATTTAATAGGTAGCATTATACCTTTAAGTTATAGAGACTACACTTCGTGCCTTAGATAATAAAGTAAGGATATTTCTGGATTTTTCAAGGATAATTTTAAAATACAATTTAAATTTACCAGAACAGCAGACAGACCTTGAAAAAGCAGAAAAAAACCTTAACATTTCTTAGTTACTAATAAAATAAATGCTGTCTGTCAGAGGGAGGTAAATTCAGGACAATCTAACAGGTTCATTTCTTTTAGTGGACTCTAAATACATTTTCACACACACAGAAAATATCAAGCAAGTATTTTCATAGAGGTGGATACCACAGAGTTTTATTACTTAGGTATGAATTGACAGGATTATTTCTGAAATTTCACAGAATTTGAGCTTGTACCACTGACTGGGTACAACAGGTGGACAAATAACTGAGGTTGCCATTACATATCTGATGGTTTTAACCGGCTTAAATGGTCCTTTCATATTCATTCCCACACTGTGATAGTATTTTTGCCATGTTAGCACAATAATTTCTGTCATCTTTCAGTAAACTGAACTGAAGAACTCAGCTGAAAACTTCAGTTTACAAAAAAACCCACAAAAAAATACCACAGCCGAAAACCAAGCCAAAAAACTCTACAAACCAAAACCAAAAAACCCCTTGACTTCATGAGTTCTCTGTACAACCAAGTACCAAACAAATCCATATTAGCAACATGGAGGAGGAAATATGGAAGTGGGAAGAAATGTCTGCATGTTTTGGCTCTATTCACCATTCTCCAACGTCCTCTGGCCTTCTCTCCTGGCTTGAAATATTGCCTTCAAGTAGTTTGAAATCTGACATTTTCAGAAAATTGTAATGCATGCAAACTTTCAACCCAGCAAGGCTTTGTACGAAACACAGAACTAGGTCCAAGTTGCTACATTTCTGAGGTCTTCTATTTTTTTAACATAACATCAAACATCATCTTGAATTAGCACATGAGCCTGAGGAGTATTTCTTTTAATCACAAAACACAACATCATGGTTTCCTTAATAAGACCCACAGCTCTTAAATCATGAACGCTGTTGACTAGAAGGTAAATCTGAAGATAAATTACATAATCTTCTTGATCATCAAAAATTCCAATAGATAACCAGATTAAAGAAAATTATCTCCTTCTGAATATTGCAGAGCCCTTAAGCTAATGTAATAAATTAACAGAAAAGTTTTAACAGATACAGAAACAGAATTTTCATAAAGTGTATACAGACTACAAAACAAAAAAAAATTAAAATATTTCCATAATTATTTGATTGATGCAATTAAAATTAATTCTAGACAAATACAAAGACAATGTAATTTATCATTTTACTGACTATATGCTTTTCTGTCTTGTGTAAGCTTGGTGTAATTAATCCAAAATAGATCTATTTGTGTTTGTAATAGTGTCACTATCTTTCATAAAATAAATGAATATTCAAAAGTTACTATTAATAGTGAAGACAATTTACCTGGAGCAGTTTATACAGTCTACAATCCCACCGAAGGATTTATCATCATTTTCAAAGAAATACTGAGTTTGCTCAGTGATACAGCTTGTTTTAGGCAGGGCGGCACCGAAATCATCATCTTCCATATCAGCTGACAAAAAGAAGAGAATAAATAAATAAAAATTATATTTGTAAGTTAGAGACATAATGAGGGGATCCAAATATGGCCCCCAGCCTAGATTCTTACCTTCTGTTTCACTCAAAGTTGACTCTTTAACATTCTCTTGACTTACCTGCATCAAGGAAACGTGGAAAAGTCAAGCTCAAAAACAGCTGCTGTAAGATAGACCTGAACACAGAAAGACAATATATATTTGTTAAAGGCTCTTTGTCTTCTTTAATTCTAATGGATCCTTAAAAACTATTCAAACAGCAGTTATTAACAACAAAAGCATCACAGCTTAATATGCTTTTGCCAGTTATTAAAGCTATGCTTCTTGGAACTTTATAGTTTGACTCTGGTTTTCTTTTCATGCTTTCTCTCAGGTCTTCCTTCCCACTAATCTTTTATTCTACTGTTAAGGTTTGCTGTTATTTATGCCCATAACTCATAAAATGGAAATGTTATCATGTCATACATGTCTTTCTTTAATATCTCTGTGGAAGTTGGAAAAGGCATGTTGTTGTTCCTCTGGCACTTAAACCAAACAGAACTCCTTTTGAATGCACTCAGAGAAAATGCTCCTGAATTAAGATACTTTACACTGATTAAGGTTCCTTAAATTGCTGAGAAGGAAACAAACACTGGGATATTACAAGTATATTATCACTGCAGCAGATGACTTTTAAAATAATCTCTATTCCTGCTTTTGAGATGTGGAATATATTTTCATCTTAGATGTTGCTGAAACACTTAGGCTTAAAGACCTCCATTTATTTCAAATTATTTTTCTTCACTCATGATCATACTTCTCCTATTTTACTTATTTGAATTAAGTATCAGCTTGCCACATAGAATTATAGAATCATAGAACTGTCAGGGTTGGAAAGGACCTTAAAGATCATCTAGTTCCAATCCCCCGGCCATGGGCAGGGACATCCCTCACTATACATGGCTCCCTTCTTCTCTACCAACTTGTCAAAATAGGAATTGCAGCAGTTATATTCCCAAATTGCCTGCTTCTGCTTAAACCTTCCTAAGGTGCAGTTTCTTGTTGTCATGTTTTAAGTTTGCTTCTACCTACAAATATGATCCAATCTCTCCTCATCTCCTTCTACTCTAATACTTGTTCTGCATAGAAGGGACTTCGAAACTTTATTCAGCCTCCGAGATGTTTTCCTTTTCTCCTTTTCTTCCATGATCCTTGTGTAAAGAAAGTCAACATGGTTGTTGCCTTTCAGTGGAGATGTTGCCTGAAGGAGCTCTGGATTCTCATCCACAGCTTTGTGCCTTGAGTCATCAGATGGACAGCGCACCAACCATCATAGATGAGAAGAGACCTGGTGCCATTCAACGCTGATGCAATTTGCTGACAGAGAATAGTAATTCTTCATAAGGTTTTACTGCAGAATTTACAGGGAACTGAGTCAAAAAGGCAGCCTGGGAAAACTGAAATCTGAGTTAAAAGAGCATGAAGAAGAAATGATCCGTACTCTCTTGACTAAATGCTGATGTATCCCATATAAATTTTGAAGGTGATCACTCACACCTTTATCCCACATTGTGGCCTGAAACATTATAGTTTAATAACCCTGTTTCTCTTATTTCCTTGCATTTGCTTTTGCCAGGTGCCTCACTGAGTCCATTTTTGGTCAGCCCTTTTCACTCCACTTGCTTAATGGCTTTCTCTGTCTGCTTCTGACCTAGATTCCATTAAAAACATGTCCATAGAAAATACTTTCATGTGGTGCTTTCAAGTTAAACATCATACAACATAAACCTCAGGTCTAAATTGAGTCCAGACACTGAGTCTGATTTGAACACTGATAAACTAAAGCTTCTCTGTTGGAGAAGAGCTCAAGTTTCTCTTCTGGATTATTGCCCACCTCCAGTTTTTGAGGTTTGCTGTTGTCCAAGAAAACAGATTTTTGCTGTTACTGTTAACAAAATGTAACCAACAATACAAACCAACATACAGTCTTCATAGTGCTATCCGTGAGAAAATTACTGTGTGTTTGTTCAGCTGCTATATATTTTAACTCTTAGCTTCATAAAGTAGGTAATTTGTCCCAGCTTGATAATTATTATAAAAAAAATAAGAATCATGAAACTTTAGAAGAAGGAACAGTCTCCAAGGGTTTAATTCACACCAATGCAAAAGTATCATATCAGTCCCACTTACTTATCCCAATGTGGTGCTAGAGGAAGTAGCTTATGGGAGTGTCTATCAACATGGCTCTGAAATAGGTAAAATTATTTCTGTAGCTATTATTAATAATGCACAAACCAAAATCAATGAAAAGAAAGCTCACATGGAGTCTTACAAAGATGAGCCACAGACTCTTGAGGTAATAGGAGCCAATGAGGAAACACTAGTGAAAGAGCTCAACGGAATTAAGGGGTGATCCTCATAGAGGGTGACATGGCTGACAGCCCAGACGAAGTGCCTCTACACCCATGAATGCAGCATGGGCAATAAACAGGAGGGTTTGGAAGCCACCATGTTTCTAGAAAGCTACAACTTATTTGTCATTACTGAAATTTGGGATGAATCCCATAACTGGAATGCGGCTACTGATGGCTACAAGCTGCTCAGTAAGGACAGGTGAGAAAGGAGAGGCACAGGCATTGCCCTCTACATCGAGAAATTAATATAGTGTGGAGAGCTGTCTCTGATGAATAACCATGAGCAGATTGAAAGCTTATGGGTAAGAATCAGAGACTGAGGCAACAAAGGAAACCTTGTGGTCAGTGTCTGTTGCAAGCCACACAGTCAAAGGGAGCCTACTGATGAAGCCTTCTGACTCCAGCTCCAAAAGGCTTCGAGCTCACAGGCTGTCATCCTGCTGGGGGCCTTCAGCCACCTCAACACCTGCTGGAAAAGCAGTACAGCAAGCTGAAGGAATCCAGAAGAATCCTGGAATGTGTGGAGGATAACCTCTTAAGCCAGTTAATAGACAGCTCTACCAGAGTGGATGCACCTGAGGGTCACCAACACAAGTGAGCTAAAATCAGTGATGTCAAGATTGGAGGCATCCTGAGCTGCACTGGTGGAGTTTGAAGTCCTGAGGGATACAGATCAGCAGAAGAGTCAAGTCAGGACCCTGAATTTTAGGAAAGTAAAATTCCAGCTGTTCAAGGAGTTAGTCAATAGGACCCCCTGGGAAACTGTCCTCATGGACAAGGGAACAGAACAGAGCGGGTAGATCTTTAAGGATGCTTTCCATAGAGTGCAAGAGCTCTAGATCCCTGGGTGTAAGAAATCAGGCAAGAAAGGAAAGAGAGTAGTATCCATAAGTCAAGACCTGCTAGTCAAACTAAAAATCAAGAAAGAACTGCAAGGCAGTGGATGGAGGAACAGGTATCCTGGGAAGAGTGTAGGGACATTGCCTAGTTGTGTAAGAATGAGGTCAGGAATGCTAAAGTGTAGGTGGAGCTGAGCTTGGTAAGGGGTACGAAGAAAGACAAGAAGGGCTTCTACAAGTATATCAACCAGAAAACGAAGGTCAAAGAAAGTGTACACTCCCTTATAAGTAAGACTGGCAGACTGGTAACAAAGGACAAGGAGAAGACCGAGCTTCTCAACAACTTTTTTGCCTCAGTCTTCACTGGCAATCTCTCTTCCCACAGCTCTCAAGGCCGAGACTGGGGGACCAAAGGCCCTCCTGCTGTTAAGAGAAGATCAGGTTCATGACTGCCTGAGGAATCTGAATAATGAGGGTGGTAAGACTTTGGAACAGGTTCCCTAGAGAGGTGGTAGAAGCCTCATCCCCGAAAACATTCAAGGTCAGGATTGATGGGGCTCTGAGCAACCTGATCTAGTTGAAGATGTCCCTGCTCAAGGCAGGGGAGTTGGACTAGATGACCTTTAAAGGTCCCTTCCAACTCAACACATCCTATGAGTCTATGATTTATGTGATTTTGTAAAATGATTCACTGAAAAACAAACACTGATTTTCGTAAGATTTCTTGCTAGAAAAGGGAAACGATATTCTGAAACAGAGAACCGAACCAAGTGATCAGTAATTCTAAATGTAATCATTTCATCTTTACTCCTGACAACCAGCCTCATACCATTAATACCACTTCTGCTTCCTGAAGTTGCTTTTCTAGATTCACAATACACAGCCACAAAACCTGGCAAGGGTAGTTTTGAATTCAACTCTTGACTGAACATTGCATTTTCCAAGTAGTTTGGAGACATGGCTAAGATTTGTCATCACCATGACAAACCATTTCTGACTACAGAAATAAAAGGTTCAAAGCAGTAGAAGAGCAGGGGAAAAAAATAGTAATACAACTTCAACCCATTGAATAATTCTAGTTAGGACATAGAGATTTCCTACACACTTGTACTTACCAGGCAGCTGCTGAAGCCCACCATCCTAGATGCAAAATATCTGTTATCGTAGGCTGGGAAAAAAACAATAAAACACAACAGAGGTTATGTTTGTATAAATACTTGTAGACTTTTAAGGAAGTATCAGTCACCACACAAGAGACTACTGACCACATAAGCAGAACGAAGTCCAGCTCCTTGCTTTGGTTCTTCTTCGGGATCGCAGACTGATTGATAGTCATACGACTTGTTAAAGGCATACAGGGACATGTTAATCAGGTTTCGCATCAGGCCAGGATCAATTTCACCAAAAAATCTTCCAATCTAATGAAGGAGAATATACAGAGATAAGATAAAGTACTCCTGAGTATTTCTCTCCTTGAAAAAAGGTGAACAGTTCTGATTTCCCTCTCCCCCTCCCATTTTTTTCTTGACACAACTCATCCAGTATTTATTATCTAACTATTTCTCTCCCAAAAGCTTGGTTGGAGAACTCCAGTGAGACAGAAATTGTTAAATGCACTATTTACCACCCTGCACGGGCAAGAGCAAGAGGAATATGAGAAAGAAGGTGTGTGGATGCCATAGTACTTGCCCTCTTCACTGGCAGCCAACCCGCCTAAGAGCAGAGCATAAAGAATGCAACTTGGTAGAAGTATGGCATCTTGAACCATAAATAAGACTGTGAAAAAGACTAACAAAATATCTGGAATTTCTGATACAGTAGAAAGTTTTGATTTTTTCATTCATGAATATTATTTTTAGGTTAAGTTGGGAGGGAACTTCTTCCTGTAGTTTTTCACATGCTGTCCTTAAAAAAATATACATACCTGTTGTGTATATTCATCCCGATTTGACATCAAAAGAAATCCACCATCGTCAAGGATAACACAGTCCACATGCTAAGAAAGTACATTAAATTGTAAGAAAGTACAATTTGTTTTGCAGAAAGGATTGGTCAAGAGAACACTTCGTAAGAAACTATTTTTTATTCAACACTTCAGAAGTCTCTTCAAATCTATGTGGCTCAGGCTAAGTCACAACCTCATAGCCAAGGGCCAATATGAAGCTAAAATAAGTAGCTTTATCAGTATTATAAAAGTTTGTACAGATCAAAGGCTTATTTGTGGCTCAATTTCATAAAAGTTGTTTTGTAAATTCTCATTTGCTCAATACTTTGTTAGCTCTAAGAGTGCTATATCCTTATTAAATTTGATTATAAGTGAATCTCAGCTCACGGTGAGGGACTACAATTTTTCATGTGCTTCAGCCATGTTTAAAGTCCTCTTCCATTTGCAGCTTTTAATGGTAAAAATCTTAAGGGCAGACTCTCAGCTTGCCAGTCATGATTATTTTCACTTGCCAAGGACTGTAGCAGGTTTCTTCCAGGTGTCAGGTGCAGGAATGAAAGCCCACTCATCCCCTGTGCTTTTTGCACTTTGTAAAAGATCCTTGCAGTCAGAGATTGGAGAGATAGCAGTGAGGCCAAACAGAGAACCTCCCAGAGTACCCTTTTTGCTGTAACTCTTGCATTTAACAATCTTCACGCTTCACAAAAGAACTCATCTAAGTCCTGAGCTGAGAAAGCTTTTAAGCACATGGCAGAATTTGATACTGTGAGAGCCCTGAAGCTGTGCTCTCCTGCATGCTCCAGAGCTGTGGGGTCCCGCAACCCCAAAAGGGCTGGGAACAGAGGAGAAGAGGACGATGAATGACTGTTGAGGGGCACAACACAGAGTCAGGTGCTTTTCAGTTTGCATTTATCCTTCTCTAAGGTACTGCTAGCATTTCTTTTTTTCAGATTATTTGTTTTAAACACCATTCCCTTTTCTCAGGATTCATCTCTTGCTTTGAAAATTAGTTATATTTGTCTCACATTTTCCTTCACATCATTCTCTATTGCTCTTATGCTGCTTTTTTTCCTTCTCCGTAGTTCTCATAACTGCACTGCAATGAGGCTGGCAACAATGACTTCACCTGACTTTTATACCTTTTTGCCCTCTTTCTAATCTTCATCTCTTTCTCAAGACACAATGAATGAGTCTCTTTTTCTGTAAAATTAACCCTCAAATAATGATAAAATCATTGTCTTAGATTAATCTAGAGACAATGAGTGAATTTTCACAGTCTGCCAGATATTTATAAACTGAAGGTATTCTTACCATACTGTTTCTCTCACAGCCACAAATTTCACTGTTGCACTAAAAAACAGAAGTACAGTAATCTTAAAAAAATGTTTCAAAACCCCTTGCATTTTGCAGTGATATTAATCAAACAAGAAAAGAACTAGTGATTTTCTTTTAAGCATCTGCATATTAATTTGAATTAATTTTGAGTATGTAGTATCACAAATATTTCTGTGAACAACCTGTATTCAGTAATTATTAACAGCACAACCTCTACTATCCATCACAAAGTCTCTAATACATCTCTCTTTTTAAGCATGCTCAGTGTAATACAGAAAAACAATCTGGAGGACTTGACAGGATGTCAATGATGTGATATAAAGTAAGAGAAAGAAGACATTTCCATGTATTTGGGTATGGAAAGAAAACCTAGAAAATACGTCTTTTAGGCCATGAAAAGCTTTACCAGCCTCAAAGCATGGGAATCCCATGTGAAAAAGGAACCCCACTGTCTCCAGTTAGCTTTTATGGCTTTGATTACTAACACATTTTTCTCTTTTTCTTGCAATATGTGTATACATATACACGACTGTCTCCTTGCATTATGTCCTGAGCAAAACAGCTACCAGAATATACTGTAGGCATCCATTTCAAGTTAATTCTAAGACAGTTGTCTTTCTCTTTTTCATTTATTTTTGTCCTTACCTGTACTGACTTTTAAGCATTTGCCTATCCACTGAACTACAATTCTAAAACCTACAATAACCAGATACTGTTAGTGATTCTCTTAACATAAAACCAACCAAGCAAGATTTTCTCCTCCAATTACTCTATAACTGTTTTCATTTCGTGCCTCTCCTTTCCCAACGGACTATTTATTCCTCAGTTTTTCCTTTCATTTAGTCTCTTCTTCCCATTCAGACCTAAGCATTAGATCTAAGGAATGAAAGGCTAAGCACCTATTTCACTAAGTTCTGCTAAAATGCTGTGATGTTGGTTGCAGTATAAATCCTTACTGTTCCCTGCTAACCCACCCTCCATATTAAATAAAAATAGATTCACCAGTTCTTTTGAAGACTTTTTTTCATTGCTACAGCATAATCTTTTTATTTATGCATTTGGGTGATTTAAATACCACAACTACTTGGCAACTATGTATCAGTGTGACTCTGGCACAAAGAGCTGTTAGACCTATTTGCATCTTAAGCTTTGAGAAATGCAAATAAAGTTCAAAAAAGACTTGGTCAATTGCTTACCAGGCTTTTGATTGTGGTTTTTGTGAAATTTTCCATCCAGCTGGTTGCATCAATTTTTATTCCAACAACTAACAAGAAATACATGAAAGGTTTTTTTCAGTAAAATGAAAAAAAAAAGGTAACTGTAGAATCCCCCCAAAACAAAGAATAATTATAATAACATCTAAATTATTAAACTAGAAAAGGATAAAATATGAGATTTTCTCAGCTGTCTGACCACCAATATCCTTCATGAGACTAATAAATTGAGCACTCTTACACAAACACAACCAGATCTCTGGCTTGATTTCCACTAGAATGATTAAAAGTCTCAGAGAAAAGAATATTACATAAAGCGAAGTTCCTTTGAAATCTCAATTAAATTTCTAATTCATTGTTGAGTAACAACCAAATAGCAAATGTATTTAGAGTTTCAGCACCACTCTATCTTACCTGCTGGTTTGAGAAGCTTCCCATTAATTGTTATTTGCACAGCCTTGCTTACCATGATACCTGTTTCATAGCTATTGGCACCACTCTCTGAGAGTAGAGAAGGGAAAAGAAAAACAAAGATTAAGACCTAAAATGGTTCGAAAATATCTTCATCGAAAAGCACTGACGCAGTTGCACTACACATTTATCACCTGTAATAGCTGTGAGCTCTAACATCTGGATCACAAAGAGGAATCTTTTTATTTACTTTTCTTCATTCATTTTTTGTACACAGTTTCACTGCTTCATAAAGTTACTGTACCCTTTTTTATTTTATTTTTTCCTTTTTTTTTTCTTTGTGCAAACAGAGCCATGAATAGCTTTACACATGTGAGCAACTCTGTTAAAACCAGGATCAGAGCCAAAGATTTTATCCTGCTGTCGTCTGGGTATTTTTCAATACAGGGTATACTGACACCACTCACTAACCAACAATTACTTCTCTGATGGACTTCAGCCTGTTTTCAACACTGCTTAGTATGAAAAAGCAAGTTAAAAATACATTCCCTAGAGCTCTTTGAGGAACAACAAAGGCTTCAGGGAATTAGTTAATTACCTTGCTAATATTTTACTGAGAAAAGATGCAATAAATAAATATGAAATAATAGCAATAAAAGATCCCATATGTTTAAGAGAGGGGTATGTAATTTGTGGCAGCATCTGCTTTTAGAAGAGCTTGGCAAGCTTAAAGCTGCTCACATCAGTAACGAGCACTTACTATTGTGCATATATAGGTTTTCAGACAAAACATTTTTGGTGAATAACAGCAATTTGAAACAGAATTCAAACCATTAAATTAAGCAGCAGTGGACAGATGTGTGGACTCTGGATCCTTATACCTGCTCCCCCAAGTTAAGCTTGATGTTTCAAAATAGTGATGACTTACTGTTGTAGTATGGAGCTGTGAAAATATAGTTATCATTATCTAAACTCCTTTTATAGAAGCTGACTTCATAAGTTTCAGCATTTTCCAGCCAATCTTCTCCTGCCCTAATCACAAAAAAAAATAGTGATTAAAAAAAGATAGTTACAGTCTCATTAAAGCTATGCTGAATGTTTGGTTGTTTTTAAATGTTTCACAGCTGGAAATAATGTGAAATTCATTCATATTGTCTTCAGACTTCGTCAGCTCTCACTGGTTAACTGCCAAGTATAATGATTTTTTAAAAAAAACTCTGGAAAAAAGAGCAATCTTGGAACAACATGGTTCTTCTCTCATCATTTTTAGATATACTGAGACAAATATAACTGCAATATTTCTTATAACAAAATACAACCAAGCCTTTACAGTACATGCTATCTTCTGAAAATCATCCTAAAAGATTTTGTCACTACTGACACGAGAACAGATAAGAAAGTGATTTGGGGAGTAAAATTCATTGCCATTTTCCAGTCTTGAAGAAACATATTTGCATTATTTTATAATAATTGTTACCTTTTTGGGAACACTCTAGTAATTCCACCATCTGTAACAACAAATTGTGCAACAACTCCATCACTGTAAACAAAAATAAGATTAAAAATGAAACCCAACTGAAATTCTCACAAGTTCCTATGTTAAGCGTTGCCACTTAAGTGCAGAACTTAATGAATTACATATCTATAAAAACATACATGTATATTATTTTATTATCAAAGTTTGAAATGTATTGAAAAAATCAGAGCCAAGAAGAAAAATCGCATCCAATAAAAAGAATACTTACAGAGACAGTTTACTCCAGTAATTCTGAGCAAGTTCATTTGTAAATCCTGCATCCAACAAAACTCTAATGACCATATCAGTATTACCTATCAAAAGAGTTAAAGACATTCATCTGAAAACACACGACATGGAGTTTCATTAAAGAGATAAAATTAAATGCTCAGTTGTCAAGATGCTAGAGCCACAAAACTTGGGCTACTTCTACCAGATACACTGCCTAACCTCAAATTACATTAAGTACATACTGGTATTTTTTTTCTGCTGATGACTCTTAAACTTTTTCTTTACTGTATCCCAAAAACTTATCTCTGTACCACAGGAATAAGGAAAGCGGTAAGGGTACAGGTCCCAGCTTTGCAAAGCTCCAATGTTAAACTTGGAAATTAACCTATTTTTAAAGCATGTGTTTGTTCGAAATCTTTTTATATCAGATGATGCAATGAAGCAACACTCAATTCTTAGTTATACTTACTCTTACAAGTTACCACAGAAGTATATTCAAATCAGTTAAACAGAGGGACGTAAGACAAAAAAAATACTATTCCAACCATTTATAAATTATTAATAATGCTAAACAGACTTGTATGCATAAGCAAACAAATCCAAACATTCAATTTTTAATGAGAATAAGATTTCAATGCATTACTGATGGTTTATTCGAAAGTGTAACTCCTCATTTATTCTAAATGGAGGTTAAGGCTCAATTTCAAAATGTAAATATCTGCCCAAAGTCCAGTGCTCACCACTGCAGCAGTTATACAAATCTGTGGTCTTAAAGAACTGAAGGCCAAGTGTGATCTCCTTAATCAATTTGTGAGCCAGACGTTAAACTTCCTTATCTTTTATTCTGATTAATTTTATTCTAGTTCTCATCCCCTTTCCTCTACTTACTTTGGTTATATAAAATGATAAGAAAGCAGACTGAAGATTTCATTTGATGTCATTTGAAGTCTATTTGAGACTTACTTTGGCTGATATGCTCAAGTGAAAAAAACATTCATTCAAAATATTTGGAGTGTATTAAAATTTACTGGTACTTATCTCCTGCTACGACAGAAGGCTGAGAGGAATTGTGGAAAAGACTGGATGCACAATGTCCTGCAAACTTTCTTAAATAAATCCAGAAAACTGAAAACTAATGTCTACCTTGGGTAGAGAATCACAGAATCCTGATACAAGGTGTATTTCTACTGAAGAAAAATCAATGAAGATAAAAAAACCCACAAACAAGACTTGGGTATGACAGCTGTCATTTTGACTTATTCTCATTTATGTGTGTTTTCCCAAGAAAAAAATCTCAGTGGTCTGAAAGTAATACTTACATGATGGACTGCTTGGAGTATTTCTGTCAATAAATTCATTGAAATTTAATAGAAATTCAGTGTTGTTTTCTGACTTTTTTACATCATTACAGTATTCTCTGAAAAACAGCAAAATATCGGTCTTTTCAGATTTGTTTCCTTTGCTACTAAAGCAGACAAGTATGCCTCAGTAATTTTAAAATCCAAGCAGGATTGTGCAGTTCCAGTGAGGTGTCTGGCACTACTATGTCAATTGACTGCCATGTTCAACATGGAACAGTGATCTTAAATATTTCAGGTAAAGGAAAAAAAGTGCCTACCTATATCCGAATTATCAGAAAATTCCATCTATGAGATAGGGGATAGATTCTCAGAAAAAGTGCTCAGGACTAGTGTAGGCCATGAAATTAGGAGCTCTTATTACATGTAAACTAAACAAGAAAATGCCAAGTGAATTTGGACTGCTCCTGGGTTGAACTGTACTGGAAGGTACATAGACTGCTGATCAAAACATTGTCACTTCCTGCTTAACTGAGGCCAGATTTATGGGATAAGGTCCTAGGCTCTGAGAATGCTTAAAGGCAATTTTAATAGGGTACATACCACATCAGCATATAAACACTCTTTGCTTTGATATATGCAAAACAGATAAACAACAAACTACCATCCTTTACATAATGTAATAAAAATACCCAATATATCATTGGGCAATTCACTGAATGTGAGCAAGCACAATAAAAGTCACTGGGCATTTTCAAGGCAAATATTAGCTGATGAGTGGCACTGAACAACTTTTAATTAAAATGTAGAGAGTATTCAGCAGTAAAGCAGGGACCTCTCTTTTTAAATGAGATTTTTATATTAAATTAATTTTACAAACAAAAGAAGTTAGTTGAAGTATTTCATATGAATAACCTATCTTATTACGCTTTCCTTACTTTACTGTAATTCCAGAGGACATCAGTTAGAATTTGCCTTACTATACCAATATTCACATTTAAACAGAGCTCTGTGTCAAATGGGCTTTATTCATGTAGATCAGGCTAACAACTAGGGACTTGCTGGGAACTGCTAATTGGTACAATTGATTATCAATAACTTGAGTCCTTCAGAAAAATTAAACAGTTAAGCTGAGAATACATTTGAAGATAAAAGACTGCATTACAAATTAATCAATGTATTAACTAAAATCCACCTACTCATTAAAACTTAAAAAGATACAGAAATATATAAGATAAATAAGAAATGTTGCAATTTTTAACTGATCTTGATGCTACAGCATTTTCTTTATTCTTCATAACTATCTTTTAAAGTAACAGTTTTTAAGATCTATTTATCATATCATGTTTTCTTTGCAAACCTACACTTACAAGGGCAACAAAGCCTACACACCTTCACATAAAAAAATAGGGAACTAATGAACATAATCAATTTGCAATGGCTCTACCATGTTCTATGTTCAATTAATCAAAAATTAATTAATTGTTAAGTGATAGAGAGCTTTGAAACACTATCGTGAAGCTGGAAGAGATCTCAAGGTAAGTATTATGGTACCTATTTTACAAATTAGTAGCTAAGCTATAATGTTTTAAAATCTTTAATGTCACAAGTACAAGAAATGAACGGTTGTGTATAAGATTCCCATTAAAATATCAATTTCAGATTTCACAGCATTCTTTGATTAATGTAAACAGGAATCGGTGTCAGAAGACACTATTTACAATCCAGCAAGAAGAAAAGATCCATCCTTTAAAATATGAATTTAATAACTGCTCTTTTACTTAATATTTTTACAGAAATGAAACTTTTTTGGTTCTCTGAATTTTGTAAATGTAAATGATGAAATGCCTATTTAATGCTGCAATAATATTTATTACTGGGAAATTAACCAACCTTGGTGCTATAAATGTATAGCCAGCTTCATCAAAATGATCAAGCTTCAGTGTTTCTGAATCTACAAAGATGAAGAGTAAACACCAAGTAAGTAAAGTGGGCTTTTTGTCATCATTTTTCTTCTCAAAATGTTTGATTAGCTTTTGCATGCACCCACGAATTTAGAAAGAAATGTTTATTTTGAGACACTTTCCTACTAATATACTCTATACTTCTTGGTATTTTGCAATACAGGAAGAAATTGTTTTATTATTATATACAACATACACCTGGAAACAATAATGTATCTAACAACTTAAAGAAGACATTTCATTAGCATGACAACATGAAAACATAGGAGATGTTTTCATTAGAATTACAATCTGATACAAAGAAGTATTTGGAACATCGAGGTGTTAGAACGTAAAGGAAAATGCTTCTAATATTTTTCTGTTATAAAGTTTAAAAAGCTTATTTATATAAGTATCACTTCCAATGCTACTGAAAATATGGCTTTAAGAGCTGGTGTCACTGAACACTGATAGGACCAGACAAAGAAGGATTAGAGATTATTAACATATTGTAATGTGCATGAAAACAGAAAACCACATATTTCTTTCTTTTTTTTTTTTCCCTTTTCTATTGCTATGGTATCCAATGATCATGGGAGATATCCTGAGATGAGGAATACAGAGGAGAATATCCAGAAGGAACAGAAATATAAGTGAAAAATATCAACTGCAGTAAACAGAAGGAAATTGAGCAACAAGAATATACTTGCCCTTTTTGATTTTCACTATCCATCAGAAAGAGAAAGCAGGGAAACAGAAAAAAACAGGGTAAAGCAAAAGGGGTCACAAACCAATATTTTATTCAAACAGCCCCTTGAATAAAAATATTGTACATAGATAGATCAAAGGTTCAATTTACATACAGCTGTAGTTTGGAAAAAAGACAAACATCTTTGAAGACTGAAGAACATGTCCTTCCCAATTATTTCTTAAGTACCTTCTATATACTGTGGCTATTTCAAGGGTCTGTTTTGCAGGTTATACTAATAGAAGTGCAAAACCAGATGTTTTAATCAAGAGAATCACATTCGTTCACTAAAACTTTAATTTTAAACTACTTACTATATGACAAAGTCACAAAATAAGTCACTGATTATTAAAAACTTGCCATATGCTACTTCATCTGCAGGAGGCGATGGTAGAGGACAATCCTATGCCTGTCAGAGAGATTCGTAGTGCTTTTCCAACTTTCTGTTTAAATGCATATTTGTTCAAGTTTATTGTAACATTTCGTTAAAGTTAAAACGATGTGATGGTTTCTATTTTGTCTACTATCTAGCTAACAGTTAAGCTACACCTAATAAACAAAAATCATTTGAATACTCACAAGTATCATTTCCAATTATCTCTCCAGAATCTGTAAATGTTTTGAAATTAGTCTAATCCAAAAATACATTACAAACATCCACTATTTGTGAAATGCAAAATAAAAACCTAGCTGCAAGCCAAATCAAACAGCGCTTTCACATTAATAATCTATTCCTATGGGCAGCAGAGGTAATTTGTTAAATATTATGCTGTAACTACTGCAAAAATAACAAAAAATAAAAAAGCTTTACTATTACAGTCTATCTCACGACACTTATCTAAGGGAATACAAAAAATTGTATCCAGACCCTTAAAATGACAGCAACAGAGGATACAGAAAGCAATGATTCTACAAGCACAGAGCAAGGGGGAAAGGATCGTCAGTGGAACTAGGGTACCTGCACATATTCTATCTTTATAGAATATTTCTTGTACCTTGGATGTTACAAGGGGTTAGAATCATTGCTGCAGATTTTGGGTACATCATGATAACATCAGTGAATTCCACATAATTTAGGAATTTTAACCATTGTTTTTTTAAGTGAATCCAAAACTTGGTAATACTATACAAACCCAGGGAACCTTCAAACTACTTACATCTGGCTTGAGTTATTGGTTCTTCTATTTTGGCTTTAATATAATAAAAGCTGTATGATGGTAACACCAATGCCAAACTGCAATAGAAATGAGACAAGTAAAGCAATTATGTTATTTGCAGCAAGTTTCCAGTTTCAGCTTCCACGTGTTTTGAAAGCAATTAGGAAATTTGGAAGTTGTATCATCATGAGATGAGGCAGTAACATAGTGACATCCTAGCCTCACACTTTGTAACAGACACGGGTTTATGCCAGTCCTGAAGCTTCCTGTGTTTATTTTCATTCTTACTTACATTTTTAAGCCTTAATGCACTTTCTAACACATAAGCAAGGAAATTAAAAATAACTGCAAATCATAGAATTATAGAACATTTTCGACTGGAAGATACCTTCCAGATCATTGAGTCCAACCTTTTTCCTAGCCCTACCAACACCACTAAACCATGTCCCTCAGCACAACATGTACCCATCTCTTAAACACTTCCAGGGACGGTGACTCAACTGCTTCCCTGGGCAGCCTGTTCCAACGGCTGACAACTCTTTCAGTAAAGAAATTCTTCCCAATATCCAACCTGAACATCCCTAGATGCAACTTAAGGCCATTTCCCCTTGTCCTATCACTCACCACTAGGGAGAACAGACCAGCCCCAGACTTGCTACAACCTCCCTTCAGGTAGTTGTA